ACCAAGAAAACAACATCCACCGAACACACTCTACATGCATGGATGTACTCTGTACGCGAGGAACACCCGAACGGGGTTTGGTTCTGGATAAAGCTAGTCTCCACCAGACTTAAGAAAAAACACTAGGGGAGAACAATTTGTCAGGGGAGTCTGGCCACCATGGATTCATTTGTTCTCAATAATATTAGATGATAGGTAGTTTATAGTGTTATTGTAATGTATAGATTCCTAGCTATAGCACCTTGAATTAGAATATAGCGTACCGGTATGAAATACTCATGTTTTACATACTGGACATCCTCTTGTGCATTTAGCCCATCTTGGCAAGAACATGCAATAAAGATTCAGCAATTAACAAGGGGAAAAATAAATAATCCCAGCCTAGCATTTGCCGAATCTTACTATCAATAGCCCCTTAGGAATTACTAAGGTCTGGTGGAGGCTGGCCACATACTTCGTACTACGCGCGTATCGGGTGATTTTTCCGCGTCATTTTTTTATCACCATATGTCGTAGATTTGAAACGAATCGGCTGCAGTGCAAAAAGGTGCAGTCTTATGACTTTAGCAGTGCGGATGAAATATAGCTTTTTCACGTGTAGAGTGTGTTTGGTAGACGTTGTTTTCTTGTTAAACCCAACAGTGGAACATTTGAACAATTTTGCCATGAAAAAATTTTACTTAAACATAGAAAGTAAGCAAAATGGTAGTGCTAACAAAGTTAAACAACAGTTTTATAGGACATGAAACAGATTCAGTTAAGAAAAACAAAGAAATGAAGGGCACTAAAATTGAAGCAGTCGTTTCTTACCTTGCTCAAGCTTCTACAAAGGTTCCACTGAACAGGTGCGAATTCTGTTTGCCTTTATGGAGCATCTCATTAGTAAAGTAACACCAATCGGACGTGCATGTTCCAGTATTACCGTCCAAGGCGAGTGCGCAAGCACACACGTCACCGTTCAAGGCACAGGAAAGTCGCTGTGATGGTTTGGATGAATGACTTAGAACTGATTACTCAAGTATCCAGCTTGTACACGTGCTGGAAAAGACCTTACAGTCTCCGACCCTGAGGATGAAGGTAGCTTGTACACGTGCTGGAAAAGACCTTACAGTCTCCGACCCTGAGGATGAAGGTGATGTTTTAACTTTAGTTGGTTGATACTTCCCACCCATGTTACCTCCATGAAAAATTGGTATTGTTTTGGTCTCTCTGAGTGTGTGTGTGTGTTTGTGTGTCTGTGTCTGTGTGTGTGTGAGTGTCTCTGTGTGTGTGTGTCTCTCTGTGTGTATGTGTGTGTGTGTGTCTCTGTGTGTGTATGTGTGTGTGTGTGTGTGTGTGTGTGTGTGTGTGTGTGTGTGTGTGTGTATGTGTGTGTGTGTATGAGTGCGTTTCCGCATATTTTTAGTCATCGTAACTTTAGAACGCCTTTATGGATTGTGATCATGTTTGGTATGTTGGTAGGTCTTAGGATGACAAAGGACAAGGTCAAATATGGGTGTCCTGATGATTGACCTTGGTACTGCAGCAGATCTTCCGTTTTTGTTCATCTTCTTTCATTTATCACATCTTCACTATGGTTGCCTTAAAGGCAAAACTGAATTGTCAAAGACAATTTGCTGGTCATTCTTTTAACTTAGTAAATTGAATCAACAATATCCCATACCATACTGATATAACGGTTTTAAAAATATAGCAATATGATTCATGTTTTAAATCCTTTAATTGATAGCTGTTTTTAATATTGTGATTGATTTTAAAGACGTCAAGTGTAAATTAGCATAATACTTCAGACTCAGCTATGTAAGTCTGCCATTTGCTAATAAAGTCATTGTCATCTCTGTGAGGCAAAAATGCGATGTCGCTGACGGAAAACGGTTGCTTGTTTTCTATCGTAGACTGGTTCTAGCTAGTCATGGACGGTACCCAGATAAAGAGACACCTCATCTAGCTTGCTGCGACAAGGACATTAAAGTATAATGTCCTTCCCTCTATAGGATATAGCTATTCAAAACTAAGTATGAAATGATGAAGAAACTGCGGTTAGAAATGGCAGTAAATGTCGTCAATATCAGACAGATTGCCTCGTCCAGAAGATTTGTTGCCCGGGCAATGCACTGGGTGTCTTTAACCTTATACCTGCTGTTGATGTTGTATGTTATACCCCGATAAATTCTCAGTAACAGCAGGTACGCTATTTCTGAGATCCATTGATGTCATTGTTGATGTCATGATGCGCGGTACGTCTGTGATCTTCCGAAGGCGGATTACCGATCTATCGGAGTCACCTTGGTCCCCTGAAGGATTGCCGGTACATTACACAAAAACGGTGTTCTGGCCTTTCTAGACCACGAGGTTTGATTGAATTACGCCTTAAGGTGTGATAAAAACATCCCTAATGCAGAGTATATTGTTACTTGCACCAGCTGGCAGGATATGGTATATTATGACGTCGATACTAGTGCAATGTACTTGATTCCAGGAACCAGAGTGCTTAATAGTTGTTGTTGTCCTTGCTGCGCGTCTAGTATTTCGTTGGGTTTTCTTGCTCATCTAACTCTAGACATTGTTTAAAGCTATCTAATGATAATGCCCCTACTGTACTTGGTGACAGTGAGTCCCACTCTGCGATAGTTCTAACTTCTAGGAAAGAATGAATTCTTGAACACCTCAATCCTTGGTTTATAACTCTGGTACTTGAACGCATGGCTATTTCTTGTTCTTTTCTGGGCTGGTATTAGGTACTTAGTAATTGGGACGTCCTCCAGTTTATTAGTCATTTTGTACATCATGCACAGTCTGCACCAACACTAAGCCAAATAAAGAAACCACGAGGTATTGAATAATCAATCAATGCTTTAGAGTGAGAAGTTTATTGGGTTTTGCACCATGGAGTAATGCAGGCAGGTATATTACATGTCTTGACATTACATAACTGATAGGGCAGCATAACAGTGTAATAATACTTTCACTAACACCAGTTTTACACTGTGAAATCAAAAACCAATACATGTACACACAATTAGCTTCTTTGTCATTGTGGTGACTATGATGCAGCTAACACAGATTTGTGAAAGGTTTTTTCCTGGTACAGGAAAGAATATCATATTTCTTCAATGATTAAATACTTCGCGTCTAGTATTTCGTTGGGTCTCTTTCTCATTTCCCCCCAACTTTTAACATCTGCAATCCTACCTTGACTACTGTCTAAAGTTAGATTATATTTATCTTTTTATTTTATTCATATTTATACAGGGTTTCCCATCAGTGATATACAATACTGCTTTTCAGTGGGGTCCTGTACCTTACATAAACAAAATACATCCAGTCACGTACAAACAATAAAATTAAGATAATGACAATGATAATATTGCAAAAACGGTAACTAACCAATAATGATAAATAATAATAACAAAAACGTACAGATTCGTAGCACAGTCCACTTCAACTTAGACGATGTTAATGTCACTCCGGATTGCCTCAAAACTACTTGTGGACAACTTACTTCTGCCACATCATGCTGCATGATACGGGACATAGCCTGTCTCTAGGTACTGAAGTAGTCCTATAGGAACCCAAGTCTTCTAGTTGTAGAACTCAGTATGCATTCATGAACTCAAAACCAAAGCTATCACCTCTTATACAGAACACAATAGAGAACACTGAGCCAAATAAAGAGACCACGAGATAATTGAGTAATAAAGACTTTAGAGTGAGAAGTTTATTGGGTTTTGCACTATGGAGTAATGCAGGCAGGTTTGTGTATGTAAGACTCTCAATTTTAGCTTATGTATATAACGCTCTTTTGCAGTCAATCTGTGTAATATCACACCATCAATCCAGCCTGCGGGCTGCCACTATTGTGATATAGTTGGTGCCATGTCATAATAAACAATTCTAAAAAAAGGGGGTATATCATGTGTCTTGACATTACATAACTGATAGAGCAGCATAACAGTGTAATAATACTTACACTAACACCAGTTACACTGTGTGAAATCAAAAACCAATACACACAATTAGCTTCTTTGCCACAGTGGTGACTATGACGCAGCTAACACAGATTTGTGAAAGGTTTTTTCCTGGTACAGGAAAGAATGTATTTCTTAAATCATTAAGTTCTTACGAGATCTCTGTTGCTTACTTATGGGCTCTATGGCATCATCTGGGCAAACTGATCCTTCAGAGGTCCAGAGTTACCGGAGCATACGCTATTAGGCTTATACAAGATTCACTACAATTTACATTTACACGTGGGTGCCTGTTTTAAACTCTTATAAAACACATTTCCCTGAGAGATTACTATTAATTCTAATGACCTGATGTTTTCCTAGCCTCCACCAGGCCTTCCTACGGGAATATGGATCGTAGAATTCCGCAAAAAAGAGAGCAAAATTGGCCAAGGTAGTCCGGCCCCGGGGAGGTAGTTTCTTTCCCTCTGGCCCAGTCAAACCCCAAGGTGGCCAAACTCCCTGGCAAATATTCTCCTATATATAGCCAGTGTAGTTAGTCTGGTAGAGACTATTGTTTTTCTGGTAGAGACTATTGTTTTTCCATGTGCGTAACATGACATTCTGTTGCACATTCATAGATTACATGTTTTTTTGTACATGTAGCATTGCACTTACTCTGCAACTTGGCACGGAAACAAAATACGAAAATGGCTATCAAGAACTTAAATATTCTGTGAAAATTTCAGGCATTAGTTTAAATGTGTGTTCCAAAGGTACATGTAGGACAAAGGAGTACAAATTATGGCATTGCCTACATGTTCCTGCCTATGTACATGTAGTTTAGTGACAGGCCTCTTTCTCTCCCATTTTATTAAATGATGGCATTAACACATGTTAAAAACCTTTTGAGATGAAAGGGTGCCTAATGTAGCCTCTATAGCATGCCAAAAACTGGGGGTTTTGGGGGTCTTCATGGTCTTTGGAAGCTTTTATGTGCTATTTTCTGATTGCATATAAACAACATAGCCAGCCTGGTTGAATTAGCCCCGTTTTTAGAACTGGGCTAATCAGAAAACAGCCGAAGACCACCAAACCCCCAGTTCTATAAGCCTGCTACGGAGGCTAGCCTAATGCTCGCATGACATGCTAGTCTGGGTTCTCCCTTTTCACAATGATAGACAGGTTTCTGATGAGGAAGGTGGACAGCCCGGGAATTCTCTCCACCAGCCAAACCATCCACTTCATAACAACAAGCCTACACCAGTCGGCCCAGCTGATTTCAGCAAGAGGCAGGCCAAGCAAACCACGCGCAAAACCGAACATGGTGGCTGTCGTCATTTGTCTGTCTTGAAAGTAACGCTTCGTGCCTTCCACGAACGCAGTTGTGGCTACGTCAAAGTCGGGCTGCGGAGGGTTCAGAAAGGCCGGTTTCACGACTTCGTTCTCGATTTGTGCGATGAGACTGCAGGTTTCAGGGTAGTTCCCAGAGCACATGTTGTACCGGTCTTCGATTCCAAGCAGATACCCGATCCCCCTCCAGAAGAAAATGTAATCTTCCAGTTCGGCGACCGTACAGCATATTCCAAACTTCTCCGGGTACAGGACAAAACCGACAAACCCTGCCTGAGTCAGCGCCATGTCGTACTGGGAAATGTAGACCTTATCGTGGTCACCGTCCGCTTTTGTACCAGTTTTACGGCTACGTTTACTTTCCTTACGGTCTGCGTGACCATTTCCCATCTTTTCTACTTGGTCTACAGTCCTGTCCACTTGGTTATTGTTCATATATTTACGTCGCTTATGATCTGTGTGACCATTTTTCATGTTGTCTGCTTGGTGTTCTGTCTTGTCCCCCTGCTTGCTTCCGGAGTCGCAGCCTTGGCGCTCCTTGGTGATGGCCTGTGCGACTTGCCCGTGCATGTTCCTGACCTTCATGACCGAGGCGTGAGCCTTGCTGTTCACGTCCCACACGTCTCCGTCGTGCCACAGCAGCAGCCGACGTCCCGTGCTGATGTACCTGCACATGTAGAACAAAAAGGTGAATGTAGTCCTGAAGCGTTTTTAGGCTGTCTGGGGCATGGCTATAGGGCACGATATTGGAAGGCAGAGCCCATCCCTCACCTTCCACTACCTTGTACCTCTCAATTTTATTTCTGGGTGGAGTTAGGAAAGTTGTGTTAAGTTAATCTCACATCTGCTAATAACCTAGTCACGCAGCCAGAAATTCTTAGTATGGTGTAGTCAAACTCGATATTGCCAAAAAATATCCTAACAGGTCGTCCAGTGTCTGCAGACTAGTTTGGCAGGCAGACATGAATACAAAGGAACATTCCAATGAAGTAATTCCCAAACCCTCACACTTGAACAACTTAATTTACTGTTAAGCATTGCCTGCCTCCCTGAATTTAGCATTTTAAAAAGCATTGCCGACCCTCCCCTGTCACTAGCAGGGGCTTGTGGGACGTTTGTGAATGTGTGACAGGGGCTTAAAGCATTGCCAGGATCCCTGCATGTAGAGACTTAACCAGACGTACCGTCTCATGGACTGCTCCGTTGTCGAGGACTTCCCTGTGTACATCAGAACGTCGAGCAGCGGAGTGACGCTGAACCCGATCAGCAGAGCCATGAACTGGGACAGGAACACGCCTGAAACAAACACAAATCAATCATATGTAAGTTCATCTGTGTTGGTAGTTACATGCTTAAAGTTAAAACTTTTGGTCCAACACAAAAATTCTCTCACCTAGAGCTTTCGACCAGTCACTCTGGTCTTCCTCACACTTCCTCACAAGTTGACGTCCCACTTCAAAGAAGCCACGTGACAAGCTGGGTCACAAGCTGGGTCACTCACTGGGTCAGTCTACTGAGGAAGACCAGAGTGACTGGTCAAAAGCTCTAGGTGAGAGAATTCTTTGTGTTGGACCAAAAGTCTTAACTTTAAACCTGTAACTACCAACACAGATGAACTTTCATAACCTTTTTTTATTCTTTCTTTTTTTTTTATCTTTGGCAATCTCTAGTGATCCAAGTTGTGGTCCAACAGTTTAACAAAATAAAACTTGCATGAGGCACTTGTATTTTCAAATTGTAAATGTTTGAAAACTGATTGTACATTTTATCACTCAGTCTGGAAACAGGAAACACACCAGTCCTGTTTGAACACGAGGGAGGCACGTGCGCTCGCAAGTGTTCGCACAAGTGGCCGTCCCCACCTGATGGAAGGACTAGAACCGGCAAGAATAAAAATAACAACGGCAAGAGTACAACACTATCTATATAATATATTAGCACAAAAGTTCATTTGTGTTGATACTGGATACTTGTTGGTACAAGTCATTATGAAATAAAGACTAAACTTTAATTGCCAACAACACTACAAATTAGTACAATGAATTGGGAAATTTTCGTGGACCCGTCTACTCTTGGAATGTGACGTCAGAGACACGTGACTGTAGTAGTGGGTCATATGTCACGTGCCAGATAACTTGTTTCCCCCCCCCNCCCCCCGTCCCTGTGTATACCGTATATTACATTGTTATATATCAATCACCATCTACACTACATTATTACACACCCATGAGGTGGCGCTGGATGAACTCTCGGCCACGGTCGAACCGTTGGCGGTCCATCCAGGGTGGCATGGCGTCGTGGGGAGCCCCACAGTCACCCGGCGATGTGGCTCCCTTCTGTAGGTCTGCCAGGGTCAGCGGCTGCATGGTGTGTTACCTAGAAAAAAACAACAAGATTGTAACAGTGGGGGTAGTGTAACAGTGGGGGGTTTATAGGCGCTACCAACTGACCCGGCCGATGGGTCTAGACCTTTTTGGCTGAGTGGTTAGTGCGTCGGAGTTTGAAGCTGGTGCTCGGGAGGTCGTGGGTTCGAACCCCGGCCCGGGACCCGGAGGGTTTTTATCTGTTCCTACTCGCTCCTCCTGTTTCTTACAACATGTCTAGTCAGACGACTCAGACTTGCCAACAACCACCAGGCCAATGTGACTCTAACTCTAAGATAGTTTTTCCCATTGACACAAATATTAAGAATCCTGTCTATAGTGACCACCTGTCCACATAGACCAGATTTTATCGGTCCGCAGAGTGGTCTTCTTGGCCAGGTTTGAAGTTACCTACATTTGTACATGTCACCTACATGTACATTGCATTTGATAGCATTGCAGTTGAGACTCATAATGCAATTTGCCAAGTGAACAAGCATGCAAAAACAGACATCTTGACTCAGTGCAAAGCATTGCAAGTCCAGTGCAAAGTTTTTTTACCTTGTGCCAGGTTGCTTCAAATTATGTACTCTATGTTGTTGTTGCAGTCGCTCGTGTCCACCGAGTCTTGTGACCATGGGAGTAGTCTTGTGACCGAGTATCATTTTGGGCAAAGTGCAGAGCAAAGTCCTCTGCTTGGCTCTTGTCTTAATTTGCTCACTGACAGTGGTTGTGTTACGTAACTGGGCAAATTAATTATGTCACAAATTGATAAAATATCATGTCTTTCTGTCATAATCACTCATGACAGAAAAGTTCATGATGTAAACGTTACTCATTTAGTCAGTAGCTTCTGCGCACAAAAGACATTATCACTACAGTTACATTGGTCTGTGCGGGTATGAAGTTTACACTTCTTTAACATCACATACAGTACGTATAAGGTTACTGAGCAAAATGTGAGCAAAGTCCAAGGACAAATTACATAATTAGTGATGTCGATCATCGACAAAAACATTCTAACTGACCTTTAACCCCGAGCAGCTGACCGCAGCACGCACTTCAACAGAATGTAAACCTCCGCCCTATCGCTAACTTACCGAATCAATTATGCCAATAATAACCAAACTTTCATCTCAAATACTTTTCATATCGGTTGCAGTTGATAAAAAAATATTTTCGGACGGACATAAAATGCGTTTTTCGGGTCTGATTATTCTTTTAGAGCGGACTACACTCGGAGTAATACAGAAACGAGACCTTTTCACAAGTAACTAAACTAGTAATGAAACACGGCAGCCTTAAAATTTATCATATTTGTGCCTGTAAAATCGTTGCGCTTCACAGGCCAATATTTCATTTTTTAGATAATAATACTTAACTATAATCATTAGTAGAGATTTCAAAATTATAATAAACAATTTTTTGGCAAGATTAGTCTAAATAGTTTATATTAAAATGGAAATTTTGCAACCATAATGCAGGACTTTAGGAAATGAAAAAGTGGGCATTCCCATGCGGAAGGGCCTTCGTTCAGCAAGGGATGCAGACTTCTTTACAAATTTTGTTGAAAACTTCGTGAAAATTCCACCCAAACAAGACGTTTAACACAGGTACGTTCAGTTTGTTAGATATAGGATACTCTCAGGACTATGTTATCTATGGAAACTGGACACTTTCCTCTAAATTTATGTATTTCTGAGAAACTGAATATAGGAAGTTTTGGCGGGCAGTGAAAAGGGGGAGGGGGTCAATTTTTTTACCGTGGACGAACGAACGGTGCACCGCTACATGAGTTTCAGTTTATAAATACTAGAGTACATGAATATGGCCAAGTATTTAATCCATTCTATAAATCAGTATTTTATGTATGAATTAAAAGTGAAGCAAAAATAATTATTTTCAACCTGTTTGTAGTGTACAGCATAATTTTTACCTAGTTGAATGTTGACCATAAAAATTGCTAGGTTGAAAATTGAAGTACAATCACTACAAATTATGTCCTGTGGAAAGTAACTTAATGATGAAAAATTAATATGAAAAAGAAGAAGGAAATGATATGGAAAGTATCACCAAGTCATATTTTTGATATGCATTCCTTTTTTTATGAAATTATGCACTGAGTGCAGGATCAGTACAAAATGTATCTTTGTAACTGCCCTAAACATAACTCTGTCACACCAGCAAATTCGAACCTGCAAATTGTTTCTGTGAAATGTAATCTGTGGAAAACTTGTAGGTCTCACGAATGCTTCATTGCTTGAGTCAAATTTTTATTACATGTATTACATTGCAGTGACCAGCCATGGCGCAGGCAGCGCTCAGTGACCAGGAGGAGATGTGCACCAACTTCAGCTTCCCTTCCCATGGCAACAAGATCCTCCAGGTATGGCGGTAAAGGTTAGACATCCACGATTCCAGGTAACAACAGGTAATGGCAAAGCATTCGGCTCAGAACCGAGAGGTCAGGGGTTTGAATCCTGCCATTGTCACCAACCTTGTGCCCTAATGGGAAAGGCACTTAACAAGACTTTCCTCGCTTCGATCAGGTGAAATGAACATGAGTATGCCAGAATGATCATTATCATGATCGTGGGCATTAAAGGAAAAGCAAACCAAACCAAACAGTTACTCTAGCAACTGGATAAGATTTTGCAAACAGTCAGACGTTTCAGGTACTACTGTAGCATCCACTACCTTTCACAGTGACACTGGAGAGTTGTCAGAAAGGCAGGTTTATAAGTACGAACGAACTATTGATTGATATGCAAGCCCAAAAGGAAACAAAAGTTAGACAAGTCAAGACAAGGATGATGCAAATTGGTCAAAAAGCTACTGTTATTCCAGAACAGGAGCTTAAGTGTCCATGGGGCTGGGAGCGCTACATCTCAAGTGCCTGAGAGTTCTGCCCGTAGCACCCCTCTCTGTTGAGGGTGGGGTTGTATATTCTTTCATATATTGTTGATATATGTTGATTGATATGCAAATATTGTTTGCTTGATTCTGCAGAGCCTGAACAAGCAGCGTCTGGACTCCTCTCTGTGTGACGTGACCATCACGGTGCAGGGGCAGCAGTACAAGGCACACAAGTCTGTCCTGGCAGCCTACAGTCCCTACTTCCACGGCATGTTCACCGTCAACTGGCTCTCCAGCGAGGGGGACCTCGTCATGGAGGTGAGGAACTATTTATTGTGTATTAAAGGCAGTTTTTAGGGCTTGGAAACCAGATTTTTCAAAGCCAATATTCTGGTCATTTATCTACGTACTGAGTTGAAACCACACCATCCCAGTGTACATGTATATTGACCACCTATTGGGCTGATTTTTTAGGGTACCACCCAGAAAATAAAGGACTCATTTTGGGGCTTGTTTCTGCAGTTTTAAATGCCCAAAGTATGAAATGCAGGTTATGCTGATTCAAATGTGCTAACGTGAAGCAGTATGTGTCATTATCACAATTCAAAGATTGCCTTATTCAGAATATTTCCAGTTTTGCTGCTCTGAAATCGCATCGGATGCCTTTAATTTTGGTTTTGTATTTGTATATGTATAATCCGTGATCCCTCACCCTTCTCGACCTTGTCGAAAAGCAGCCAAAACAAGCATTCGAGAATTTATTCATTCATTTACTCATTCATTTATTCCTTCCTTCCTCCAGCTGGACGGGGTGACGTCGCGTGCGTTCGACTCCCTCCTGAAGCTGATCTACACGTCCGTCCTCACCGTCTCACCTGCCATCATCTCCGAGGTCGTATCCGCGGCGACGTACCTGGACATGCCGGACGTCGTGGCCGTCTGTAACCAGTACATGGACAAAAACCTCGCGCTGAAAACCGCCGCCGCCAGAAAGGTAATACTGATTTTAGTAGCCTACGCGTAGCAGGCTTATAGAACTGTGGGTTTGGTGGTCTTCGGCTGTTTTCTGACTAGCCCGGTTCTAAAAACGGGGATAATTCAACCAGGCCGGCTATGTTGTCTATATGCAATCAGAAAATAGCACATAAAAGCTCCCAAAGATCCTGAAGACCCCCAGTTTTTGGCATGCTATGGAGGCTAGATTTTAGAATGTTTAGCTGTTGTATTCTTTGATGTGCTAAGTTTTTATGATGTATTTTATTGCTAACAATACAGATATATATAGGATTGTATCTACTTGTAATACATGTAACTGGGTGCAAGTTGTAAATATTCGACATACTGTAATTCACTTTATGTTCACGGTAGCAAAGTTCACGGTCTGAGAAAAATGGACATGTTCAGGGAACTATATATTCACAGTGGCGACAGGTGCAGGAAAGAGAAAGTCCAGGAATTATTTGTTAACAGTTACTGTAATGATAAGTTCACTGTACAGAAGTGACAGTGAAAACAGTGAACATAACAGTACAGTGAAAAAAAAATCAGGAATTACAGTATTTTATGTACTTAATTTGACATGCCAGTCGATACTCAATAAAATCTGAATCTGAATCTGACAGGACTACAGCACGGGCCCTGCTGGGTTGGAAGTCGGGGACTCTGATGATGATGATGATGTGGACACGGAGCCGGCCATCTTTGCCAACGCAGAAGACGACTGGACGGTCAACCTGCAGGACATCAGCTCAGCCGCACGGACAGGGGAGGCAGGTAGGAATGTTGTTTATGTTTACAGTTTCTTCCTCTTCGCCAAACAGATAAGGTCAATGACCTGAACCAGACGTCTGTCACCATGGTAATGGGTGGTGTTGCGTCATATCATGTTGCAATTTTATAGCAGGAGGGATTTAGACTCCTGTCTGACCATATATATGAATGATGAATGTGGTGTTTGAGTAAGAATTACTAGTAACAGAGCGTAATTAACAGAGTGTGATTAACAGAACAGACCGTATGTGAAGGTAAGCATTATGCATTTGCTTTGCAAGCAGCTAGCTATATCATACTGAAGGACTTGTTACACTCAATTTTTGCAGGAGTTGTTTAAAGCTTTCTAGTGATAATGCCCCAACTGTGCTTGGTGGCAAAGGTTTCCACTCTACGATAGACCTAGGGAAATACAAGTTTTTGAATACCTCAGTTCAATACCTCATTCTGTTCCTGTCTGCTTAGGTATGAAGCCTGCGGGGGCAGAAGAGACGGTTTCGGAGCCGCCCAAGCCGAAGAAGAAGCGGCGCTGGAAGGACGAGCACGGTTCGTTCCAGTGCGAGACGTGCGGGAAGCTGTACACCTCGCGGGCGTCCTACAGGCAGCACATGTACGGGCACCGCAGCGGCAAGAAACACACATGCATGGTAAGGCACTTCTCATTGTTAGACATCCAAGTCAAAAACAGTTACTCAAGCAACTGGATATGATTTTGGACATGGTCAGACGTTTCAGGTACCATCCACTACCTTTCGTCAGAGTAGTTTGTGCTTATAATTATAAACCTGCATTTCTCCTGCATGTGTCTATCTAGTGTCACTGATGAAAGGTAGTGGATGCTACCTGAAACGTCTGACCATTTCCAAAATCATATCCAGTTGCTTGAGTAACTGTTTTTGGTAAGGGACTTGTACATTGGTTGTTGGGCCTAGGAAAAAGAATGTTGTGTTTCCTGTTTCAGTCCTGAAAAATAAGGGTCGGTAGGTAGGGATTATCGTTTTCTCTCAAATTTCTTTCTTTTTTTCATTAGAACTTGGCAATCTCTAGTGATATACAATACATTTTAACAAAGTAAAACTTGCATAAGCACACGTCTATTTTCAGTCTCAATGTTGGAAAACCGATTGTACAGCACAGGCCTCGAAATTAATTTTTTCACTATTGTCCCAGAATTGTCCCGAACATAGATTTCAATTGTCCCGAACTGAAGATGGACTGTCCCAGCCTGCTTTTCAGGAAATAAGTTGATGACAAAAATAAGAAAACAACAACTGAATTTGTACAACTTGAAGTCCACTTTATTAGTAAATGTAGGGAAATACATGATAATATCATGGGCATGGCACCGTCCCTGATATTTGGAATCCCTGATTGCCTTGTCAAATTTAAATGTTTGTCAGAGTATTATATATTTATAGGCTGCCAGCAGTCTGCAGCAGGATGGATGGATGGCGTTCCCAAATGACGTGGATGGTCTTAGAATTTTCCAATTGCCCCAAAATTGTCCCGAAACGTAATTTGAATTGTCCCAAGCTGAAAATTTAGTGTCATTTGACACTGGGACAATGTTAATTTCGAGCCCTGCAGCATTTCATTGATCAGGTGATGACTGGGGCACGGTGACCAACAGACCTTTTAATAAAACCAAGGGTTGAGTTCGCCCTGGACGTGATACTTAAACGTTCATTATATGATTTGTTAATTCTTTGTCATCACCCTTGTAAATAATGTTGTTATGATTTCTGTTATTGTTTATTTTGTTTATTATTTATGTAATCCTTATTAGTTTATATTGGTGGGGTCTTTAAAAGGAGTTGTTCCTGTTTCCCCCAACCTTTTACATTTGTTGTAATAAAGCTGAAATAAATAGATAAATAAAAGGTGTCAGATCATGGAGCTGGAAAAGGTCCACCCAAAGAAAGTCTAGGGTCAGCAGTTTTTTCTAGGGTTGGTCGGGAAACAGGAAACACAACATTTTTTTCCTATGCTCATTTGTTTGTATGAAGTCGCCCTACGTGTTTGGATGCTTTGGTAATAAGGGGCTTCACAATAGAAGTTATAATTGTGAGCCTCCTTATTGCCAACTCTTTTTGACCTGGACTGGGATTTACAGGATTTGATCTTTTGATCAAAATTTATCCCTTGTAAGTCATGTGAGAAGAATAAAATTCCAAGAGGGATCTGTTCAACAGCAAGGGAGGATATGCCTTCCTGTATTATAGGTAACTTTACATTTTGTGACTTTGTTAGTCTACATGTAGTTTCTACTGTCCATGAATTTAAGCATCTGCAAAGACACAGAATGCCAAATTTATTCTTACACTCTTGGAATAATTTATCATTGGTACAAAGTGCAAATAGAAAACGTCTACTTCCTTGAATTTCAAAAGAAACATATTTGTTTTAAAAGAAACTCTAATTTTGTGCATTTTGCCAGTCAAGTATCAAATGCAAAGTTTTCATCAGTTAGGCTTGTAACTCTTTGGCTGTAGCATCTTTGTAAGTCCCACTACAAGAGGTATGCCTATTACTGCCTAATATTTAATACCAACAAACACAGGCCTGTTTTATTTGTACAAGTTTGTTTCTCTTCACTTAAAAGAGACGCCGTGAAAAATAAAAACTGTCATTTTGTGTCTTTGCAGGCTGCTCGTCCAAAAGGCGTAAAGGCCGTTGTGAAGTTGAAGAAGAAAAAAGAAAAAAAGTGGAGAAGTAGGACTCTGGATCCCGTAGACGGGTCCAAAGTGGCCTGCACGTGTGGTGCCTTCCCTGGTTATGATAAGGAGTACCTGGACAGGTGTGGCTCCGGAAGGTGCCCGTGTTACCGACAGTACAAAACCTGCGGCCCTAAGTGCATCTGTAAGCACTGCATAAACGTTGTGGCTGTGGCCAAGCCGGCGGAGGTTGATCCGGCCAAGACTTGCAGCTGCGGCAAAAACGACAAGAAAAAGGGCGCGTCTGTTGTGAGGTGCTCCATGAACGTTCGCTGCGCCTGCTTCAAGTCGAGTCGCCCATGCGGAAGGTACTGCCGTTGTGTCAACTGTGGGAACAAAGGCGACGGTTTAAACACTACTGAACAGGGCCCTCCAAACGGGGAAGCAAGCCTCGTGGAGAAAGATGTCAAGACTCCCAAACTGTTTGCCAAGCCACCGGATAAACGTAAGGTCAGAGCTATGAAAGGCAGCGTGGCAGAAATGTTGGGAAAGATGAGGACTTCAGGCACAACATTTCAAAAGGGATCTTCAGAAAGAAATACAGCAAGTAGAGAAAGTACAACTGGCAAAGAAGGCCAGGCAAGGAGAGCCGAGAAAAGTATTTCGGGACAAATATCCAAGAGTGCAGAGGAGCAGGCCATGGTAGCTGGTCAAGATGCAAGGAATAGGACAAACACAAGGACAATAGATACTACTGCAGCAGAAGTGGCCTCAGCAGTTGCAAGCATTCAGGCACAGGCAGATACTGTTAACCCATTGCCTGCTGGGCAAGTCCCACTTATACATTCCCAGGCACCAGCTGCACCGAAGGACCAAAGTGCACAAGCCAAAGGCTGCATTTGTGGAAAAGGAGACAAGAAGCTGGGAGAGAAGTCTTCAGTGCAAAGGTGTTCCTTGAACTTGAAGTGTTCTTGTTTCAAAGAGGGACGTCCCTGCGGAAGCCACTGCAACTGTTTCAACTGTGGAAACAAAGCTGGCATCTCAGACACTAGTGCCCCTACAAACGGGGACACAGGCCTTGTCAAGGAAGGACTCAAGCCTAAACTGTTTAGGAAACAACAAGAGGCTGACAGAAATTTAGGTGCACGTGGATCTAAAGTTGCCAAGGGTAGTGTCAAAGCTATGTTGGCAAAAATGAGGACTTCAGGCGCAACTGGTCAAAAGGATACAACTTCCAATACAACAGAAAGCGCAGCAGAAGTGGCTTCAGCGGTCGCAGGTATTCAGTCCTCATCACAAGGGCAGACAGAATCTGTCGTCAGGCCGTTGCCTGCTGTACCCATACCTGTTCTACCTTCCCAAGCACCATCTACTCTCGGTGGTACGTTAAAGTGGGTCTGCTTGCCCGACGGCTCTGTAGTTAGCCCCGTGAAAGTGACCGGAACTGTGCGTTTTGTAGGCAGCAGCGGCAACAACGCAACAGCATTGCCTTCAAACTCAGGATCCCAGCCTCTTGGTAGCAACACTGCTGCTATTGCTGACAGTCAGCATGCGCAGAAGACATCAGAAGCAAATGACATAAGCAGAAAAGAGCAAACGGCAGATCAGGACGCAATGGATGTAGAGGATACATCTCCAGGGGTTGCTAATTTGTCACCAAGTGACGATGACGAAGGTATGGACCAAGGCAGTCCAACATTAAACCAGAACACTGAAACAGAAGGTGACAAGGAGGCATCTCTTGATAAAGGTCCCAAGGAAAGTCTGCAGCAAAGTACAGCTGAAGAAAGCCGGCCAGAAGATCGTCAGCAAAGCTCTGGCACCAAAAGGAGACTGAAAAAAACAGTTAGAGCCGGAACAAAAAGACCCAACCCATCGCAGTCACTTCAGCCCACCATTGTGCTCAGAAGACTCAATTTGAGATCCGGTCGCGTAAATGTCAAAGAGATTGAAACCATGGAAGAAAATGCTTCCAACAAAACTAGCACTCCGTCTAAATCCGGTACTAGCGTTGGTGCAACGTCTGCTGATATGAGGGAATCCGGTGATTCAGAACAGCATCCTTCCAAGAAGCTTAACAAAGGCAAGGCTACCAAAGCAATGAAGAGGCCGCGAAAGAGCAAACCACAGAAGATAGGACAAGAGGCCGCTAAAGAAGCTGCGACTGAGGCAGGGCCGGAGTCTGAAGCAGATGCTGCTACGACGCTCGAAGCTCAGGATGATGCCAGCACCTGGTCGAGCAGACTGAGGAAGGACAGGAAGAGAACCTGGAAGAGCAGCTCTGCTGATTGGATCGGGGACGATTCTGGCGGAGAACTCTCGGACGATTCACTAGAGAAGGACTACACCGCCGACTCTGATGTATCTTCTTCTGATGAGGAAGATGTTGCTGCTATAGAGGAGGAAGAAGAAGAGGATGAGGAAAAGCGGTTGGAACGTAGGAAGAAAGTACTCAAGAGGATGCAAGGTACTGGAAAGAAAAAGGTCAAGCAAAACACCATCGGAGACCTGTTGGAGAAAGGGGAAAACCCGAAGAAATCTCTGAAAGACGCTGTTTTGGAACAAGAAGGGAGGCAAGGGCGACCGCGGAAGCCTAAGGCAACCACAGTCCGCTCTAGACTCAAGAAGGCTACCCCGATACGTGAACTTTTGAAGTTAAAGTCACCAGAACAAGGCCCGAAAGAGATCCCGAGTTGGTTGGAGGAATGGAAGAAGTCGCTTTCCCCAGGAACTAAGCATACTCCTGGAGGAGGGAAGGGAGCTGCAAACAAGACTGCAGAAGGGGGAGAAGGTGGTAGTACTGTGTCTGTACAAGGTAGTAGTAGTACCGTGTCTGTAGGGCAAAGCACTCAGGCTCCTGCTAGTGGTGGGCCATCAACTCAAGATCGGGTAACATCTCATTCAGGGACAGGGGATGGACAAAGTACAGCACAACTGCAAACTGTGTCTATAGGGCAGAGTGATCAGGCTCAGGCTAGTGGTGGGCCGACAACTCAAGATCATGGAGTACCTCTTGCAGTCACAGGGGATGGACAGCGTACAGCACATCTGCAGGCTGTGTCTGTACAGCAAAGCGATCAGGCTCATGCTAGTGGTGGATTAACAACTCAAGATCAGGCAGCACCTCATTCAGGGACAGGGGACGGACAGAGTACAGCACATCAGCAAACTGTGTCTGTAGGGCAAAGCGATCAGGCTCATGCTAGTGGTGGATTAACAACTCAAGATCAGGTAGGGACGGGGGATGGACAGAGTACAGCACATCAGCAAGCCGTGTCTGTAGCGCAAAGGAATCAGGTTCAAAGTGGCAGTGGATTGACACTCAAGATCACGTAGCACCTAATGTAGGGACGGGGGATGGACAGAGTACAGCACATCAGCAAACCGTGTCTGTAGGGCAAAGGGATCAGGCTCAAAGTGGCAGTGGATTGACACTCAAGATCACGTAGCACCTAATGTAGGGACGGGGGATGGACAGAGTACAGCACAACTGCAAGCCGTGCCTGTAGGGCAAAGGGATCAGGTTCAAAGTGGCAGTGGAACGTCAACTCAAGATCGGGTAGTACCTCATTCAGGGACGGGGGATGGACAGAGTACAGCACATCAGCAAGCTGTGTCTGTAGCGCAAAGGGATCAAACCTAACCAGGTAGCACCTAATGTAGGGACGGGAGATGGACAAAGTACAGCACATCAGCAAGCTGTGTCTGTACAGCAAAGCGGTCAGGCTCTTGCTAGTGGTGGTGGGCCGACAACTCACGATCGGGTAACACCCCATGCAGTTACAGGGGGTGGCACCCTACCAGTTGTTACAATTGTTCGTAACATCTAATTGTCAGCAAAGTAATAAAAATCATTGTTGTAGTACTTTTCTTTAGAAATGAAACATAATTAAATTTTGCTGACATTCTACTTACTAGTATATGGTGCACCCAAAACTTTTTTGTGCACCTGATTTTAGGTTGGGTGCACGAGTGCCAAAAATGAATTTCGAGCCCTGCTGCGTTTGTAGTGTTATTTGTAGCTCTGTCGTACAAAACATATAATTCCACTCCAATGTTGAATTTACAGTATTTCTGATGTTGTTTCTTACGGGTCCAAACTTAAGAGAAATTCTAGATGTAGAATTAATTAAATTTTGCTGTATTGCAGTTGAACAATATAGCCATGATTGCATGAAGTATGTTTGCAGATTTTGCTTATTTCCATTCTAATGATTGAATGTAAGAAGATCTATCAAATGTACAATTTAGTTATTGCACAGAAGAACTGGCAAAAAAATACTGCCAAAAAATACCAGAAAACGTACAGAATGATTGTTGTTACAATAACATGAATGTTAGATTGTTGATACGGACGATTTTGGTGCAGAGGTTTTCAATTGTGCTATTTTTGATATAATAGAACTTTCATCAATGTAGATTTTTTTTCAGTGGTTGAATAAATCATATGAGAATGCTTGTGTGTGTATTTGTGTCTCTTCGGAGCATTACTTTGATTAGAAGGAGGACCACAGTCAGGGTTGGACAAGTCCCATTGCACACTTGCCCATGGCAAGTAAGTACAGTTCGGGCAAGTGAATATCCCCCTGTACTTGCCTGATTGGGCAAGTAAATTTTTTTGGATGTGGCATTATGCCCCAGTGTTTGGAGCAAAATCACTCATCATTTTCCCATAATGTATTCCCATAATATCTTACTGATGTCATGACTTTTTGTCAGAGAATCATTTTCAAGTCTCAAACCTCCTTTCTTTGGGAAATACTGGTCAAACATAGAACATTGTAAGGTGCTTGAAAAATTTCCTTGAGGTATAAAAGTATGCGAATATGTCATTTCTATTTTTGCGTTGGGCAAGTGAAAAGTTGGCGAGTAGAAATTACCATGTGCTTGCCCAATAGGGCAAGTGGATGTCTGAAAACTTGTTCAACCCTGCCACAGGATTGCATTGTGCCCTGAGGATATAGGGTTAGATCACCATGGTAATTTATCGTGTTGGGTTTCACCATGTACATTGTAAGCTTAGGAAGGAGCAGTTGTTGCTATGGCAAAACAGCAGCATTGAGATTAGTAGCTTCTAGTAAGAATAAGCGGCAGTATTTTCTTACTATTTACATTTAGACATTAAATTTGTTTCAGCACAAATACAAAAGGGACAGACTTTTGTTAGATCCACAGTTAGTTTGACAATTGAGCTATTCTTATGGTCCTTACAGTGTGATGAAAAATCACATAAGAGACAGGGTTACCACAAAATAATGGATATATATATGACACATAACAGTTTACATAATCAGCATACAGAAATGAAAGGTTAAAAAATCCAACTTTATTTGATTATGGTACCTTTATTGTATACTAAGTACTTATTGTAGCATCCCAGCGGTACTATGAAAGGTGGAGCCCATCCCTCTCCTTCCACTGCCTTTTACCTGCCCAACTGAAATCAGGTACCCATTTTACACCTGGGTGAAGAAGGTTCTGTAAAGAAACGATACCAAGCATTCTTTGTATGGCCTAGTCGAACACCACATTGCAGGAAAATCACAATGGGGCATTGATTTTCCAGGTGTGCAGTAAGCGGTTCACGTACGCGTCCCACCTCCAGACCCACATGTCTGTCCTTTTTGTACTGTACTTACTTGTAATTAATCTTTAATTAGAGCAATGATTACTGTAAACAATTATCGTTGGGATCGTGTGATGCAAAGGCAACGTGCGCGACTTGGAAGCAAGAGGTCCCGGGTTTGAGTCCTGACATGCCACTGATCTTGTGCCCTTGGGAAAGGCACTTAACACGACTTTCCCCACTAGACTCAAGTGAAAATGAGTATTGTCTGTCCAGTATTCGTTTCTATGTGTGGGACACAACACCAGCAACAGCTGCTTCTGTTCCACATGTATTGCACTATTGCAATTTTAATAAATCAAATCAAATCAATCGTTGATTTCCAGGTGTGCAGTAAGCGGTTCACGTACGCGTCGCACCTGCAGACCCACATGTCTGTCCACTCGCTGGACCGGCCGCACAAGTGTCCGCAGTGTCCCGCCAGCTTCAAGAGGAAGGACCAGCTCAAGTTCCACCTCAGGATCCACTCGGGCTTCAGACCCTACCAGTGCAAGCTGTGTGAGAGGAACTTCTACCACTCAGGTAGGTCGTGTGGCTCGAACTAAGAGGTCCTGGGTTCGAACCCCACCTTGTCACCGATCTTGTGCCCTTGAGAAATGCACTTTCCTCACTTTGCTCAGGCGAAAATGAGTATGCCAGAATGATCGTTATCATGATCGTGGGCATTAAAAAGAAAACCAAACAAACCAAATATACCTTATTCTACAGGGTCCTACAATGAACACATGAAGGTCCACACGGGGACAAAGGCTCACCACTGCCGCTACTGTAACCGGGGGTTCACCAGCCGTAACAACATGCTGCGTCATCAGTCACTGCACCAGGCCGATGGCAAGTTCAAGGTGGCCTACAAATGTAAGGAGTGCAAGGCCAAGTTCCCCACCAGGAAGATGGTCGCCCTGCACCAGAAACAGGTCAGGTTTATATTATGTTTACCTTAGCAGAAGGAGAACATATAGTGGTTTTCGTTCAGTTTCTTCTTCTTCCTCTTCTTCTTCTCCGAACAGATAAGGTCAATGACCAGGACCAAACGTCTGTCACCATGGTAACTGGTGTTGGGTTACAACTTATGTAATGTTGCAAGTGCCATGCAGAACTGAGTTCAAGAGGGGCTTCATGGTCATCATAAATTATTATATATGAATGTGTTTGAGTAAGAATAAACAAAGCAGTTTGTTAAGCTGGACCATGTGAAGGTAAATATGAATACAATATCGGTAATGTGTAAAAGAAAACCCCTATATCCTTAATAATATACTCTACCAACCTGATGAATCTATTTTCTGAAATATGCTTCTTTGTGCAATAAACTAATTACAAACTGATTACAGGAGCACGGTGACAAGAAGTGCTTCGTCTGCGGAGAGATGTGTAAGGGTGGGAGGGACGGTCTGATCGAGCACACGAGATTCCTGCATTCTGGGGAGAAAAAACGTCTTGCCGACGGAAACAGCGCGTCCGGAACACAGCCTAGCGTTTCCTACCAATGTGACATGTGTGAGAACGTGTTTAACACGAGGGCGGACTTAGTAGAACACGTGAAGACGCACGCGAGTGATCCGCTGCTGAAGTGCCCGTACTGTCAGGAGAGGCACCGGGGCACCTACAGGCTGAATGTGCACATGAACATGCACGCCGGACAGAGGATGATGGTGCCCAAAGTGGACACCAGCGGCGGCGCGATCGTTATCGTCATGCCGGGAGGAACGCAGGGACAGGAGGGTGATCATGAGACGTTAAAGAGTTCACAGGACGTGGAGGAGACGACTGCAGAAACTTCAGCAGCAGAGAAGGTGGTGGTACCTGAAGGAGGGAAAGTCTGTCTGTTGGAGGACGTTCCAGAGAGTCCAGATAAGGAGGAAGGGGCCAAGACAGGTGAGGAGGAGACCATGTTTCATCTCTTTCATTTCTTTTCATTTTAATCATTGTGTTTTCGGTTATGCCATGGAGGTGTGGCTGTGGTGTAGGCCTGTATGCATGTCAACAGCAAGTCGAGAAGCTATGGATGATATTTGGTAGGTAAGTATAGGTTGTGGAAATGAAGATCAGCTTTGCCTGTTTGGTTCACCTGGCGTATTCCTACAGTACTGCAGCGAGTTATGTATGTATGTATGTGTGTGTGTGTGTGTGTCGACAACATAATGCAGAAGTTATGGTCAAGACAAACTAAAGCTGAATACCAGTAAGAATATT